TTTATCCAATTTTCTCTTGTGGATTGTGCTTTTGGTGTTTTATCTGAGAACTCTGCCTAACCCAACATCAGGAAAGTTTCTATGTTTTCTCCTGTAAGATTTCTAGCTTTACATTTATATTTAGGGTGATGATCCTTTTTAATTTTTGTCAGGTTGAGGTCAAGATTCTTTTTATGCCTATGGATATCCAATCGCTCTGCCATCATTTGTTGAAAACATTCTTCCTCCTTTGAAATGCTTTTGCAGCTTTGTCAAAAATCAGTTTAGTGTACTTGAAAGTGAAAGTGAAACTAGTCGCTGAGTTGTGTCTGACACTTTGTGACCCCATGGACAGTAGCCCACCAGGCTCCTCTGACCCTGGGATTCTCCAGGCAAGAATACTAGAGTGGGTTGCCATTTCCTTCTCCGAATATAGCTTTATAGTAAGTCTTAAAATCAAGTAGTGTGATTCCTCCAGCATTAATTTTCTCCAAATTTTTTTTGTTATACTATTTTGCCTTTCCATTAGAATCTGCTTGCCTCTATCTATAAGACAACCTCTTGGAATCTTGACTGAAATTATATTAAATGCATAGATCCATTTGAGGAGGACTGGTATCTTAGCTATGTTGAGTCATCTAATCTATGAACATGGTTTATCAGGTCAATTATTAGTTCTTGGCTTTCTTTCATCAGCCTTTTGTAGTTTTCACATATAGCTTTGCTGCTCTCTTTGGAGTGTTCTTTAAACGTCACTGAGATCCATGGGTTGATGATGTTGTGCAGTTTTACTCAAAAGAGGTTAACTGTGGCTTGTCCATTTTTCCTTTTAGCTCTATCAGTTTTTACTTCATGATTTTTGAAGTTCTATTGTTGGGTGCATATAAAATTTAAGATTGCTATATATTCTTAATGAATTGACCCTGGGGTCATTTTGTAATTCCTTTTTTATCCCTGGTAATATTTAAAGTAGATAATTTTAGACAGAATATAATTGAGTCTTTTGTTTTTGGCTGTTCTGATAATCTTCTACTTTTAATTGCTGTGTGGACTGTTTACATTTGATGCAATTATTGATATGCTCAGATTTAGGTCTACTGTTTTTATTGTTTGTTTTTCATTTGTTTTTTCCATTGGTTTTACATTCTTCTATTTCCTATTCTCTTGCCTTCTTCTAGATTGTTTGAATTTTTTTAATAATTCCAATTTAGTTTGTCTATGGAATTTGAAAATATTTTTATTTGCATTAGCACTTAACACTTGGCTGGAGATTACAATATACATGCTTCACTTTTTGTAGTCTAGTTATAGTGAATATTTTATCACTTCTAGTGGAATGTGGAAATTTTTACCACTATAGCAGTCCTTTAGCCCTTCTTCTGTGTTATCATCTTCATCGTTCATTTCATTTAAGTTGTAATCTCTATATATTTAAGTCCCAGTCAGACAATAGTATAATTTTTGCCTTCAACCATCAGTCACATTTCAAGACTAATATGAGAAAAATGGACTACTATATTAACCAGATATCTGCCATTTCTGTTTTGCTTTCTTCATTCCTGAAGTTGCAAGTTTCCCACTGATATCATCTCTCTCTTTCTTGAAGAACTTTTGTTCTTTAGAGTAGATCTGTTGCTGCTGGATTCTGTCATTTTTCCTTCTGAGAATGTCTTTATCTCACTTTTATTCCTGGAGCATAATTTTGCTTGATATAGAAAACTACATTAGTAGTTCTTTTCTTTAAATGTTAAATTTAAAAAATGCACTGCCTCTTGACTTCCTTGGTTTCTGGTGAGAAGCTCAGTCATTTGATTCATCCTTCCTTGGTATATAGTACAACACTTTCACCTGCCTTGCCTTTAGTTTTTAGCAGTTTGATTATGATGTGTCTTGGTATGGACTTTTTTGAATTTGTCTTGCTTGGGATTTATGAGCTTCTTAAATCTGTAAGTTTATCTTCTACCAAATCTTGGATATGTCAGGGTTTCTTGAGGACATAATAAAGCACACAATCCTCCATCCCATGCATTGAGATTTGTATAATACAGCTCATTAGCTGTCTCCACGGTGGTTCTGATGTCCCACCTTGATTCAGAGTGACTTTGGCTATCTCATGAATAAATTCCGTCAAGAAATTCTGATAAATGGTTATCTAACTTTCCTGGAACGTACCATTCCAACGCCTTAAACACATTTCTGTAATATCACAAAAGAGCATGTGTACTGTGATTAGCTAAATTGTTACTGTTTTTCATGAAATCGTGTTTTTAAAAGTCTTTTCCCCCCTGCTACCCACACTGACATTAGATGCAGTTCTGAAGAAGCTTCTACATTTGACTCCTACTAGCTATTTCTAGTACCAGGTCCTCGAGTTTTGCAATGTGAAGTAGATTCTTCTTAGGTTGGAAGATGACTCCTTCAGGCAGCAGCCCATTTCTTCAAGTTGTTGAACCCTGTTGAACCTCTTTTTCATGATGAAGCTTCTCTATCCCCTGCTGCTTTCCACCATCCTTTAACTTCTGACCTTTGGTCTTTTGCTATTTTGCATGCTAATATTCCATTCTTTACTATCAATGACAAACACTGAACAAGCACCTATTAGGTATGGCATGAATCATGACAAGTATGTGCATGTAATAACCACTTGCCAGAGCAGATACCATTTGTTGATTATCCCTTGTCTTCTTGAGCCTAGATGCAACATCAGAACCCTTCTCAATGCAGAATCCTTGATGTGGGGCAGAAATGGCAAGCCATCAGACTTGATATATGCAATGAAATTTAGTTGCCGTAACTATGCCAGGCTATAAAAGATAATAATGTGTATAATCTGGGAAAATTACTTTGAAATTAATGATGAATTCTTGTAAGTTTTTGTTAAGGGTTTGCTAGTCTACGTCTTATCAATATAATGGTTTTATAGACAAAATAATATTATTATTTCTCTATGTATATATTTTTATATATAAATAGTACACACATATATCCTATATCATGTATATGGTAGCATATATTACATTATATATGTTTGCATGCATTTGCATACATATATTTAATATACATATGTACATGTGAATCATGAATATTCATTCATTGGAGGGACTGATGCTGAAGCTGAAGCTCTAATACTTTGGCCACCTGATGCGAAGAGCCAACTCACTGGAAAAGACCCTGATACTGGGAAAAATTGAGGGCAAGAGGAGAAGGGGGCGACAAAGATGAGATGGTTGGATGGCATCAATGACTCAATAGACGTGAGTTTGAACAAACTCGGGGAGGTAGTGAAGGACAGGGAAGTCTGGCATGCTGCAGTCCATGGGGTCACAAAGAGTAGGACATGACTTAGCAACTAAACAACAGCAAATACATGTGAATAATATGATATACTAATATTATTATATATTACATGCTCTATTATAATATATATTATATACATTGCATGCGTGTGACTCTGTGACTCCATGGACTGAAGCCTGCCAGGCTCCTCTCTGTCCCTGGGATTTCCCAGGCAAGAATACTGGAAGGTTACCATTTCCTCCTCCAAGGGATCTTTTCAACTCAGAGATGGAGCCCATATTTCCTGTGTCTCTTGCATTGACAGGCGTATTCTTTACCACTGAGCCACCTGGGAAGCCCCTAAGTCTAAAACGTAAAAATAGATTGCCATTCCACTACAAGTTCAAGGAAATGGGAGCATTAAAAATTATCTTTTGTGGACAAGGGGATTAGATACTCTGTTTTCTAAGCACTTAACTATCTCTGTGAGCATAACCGGCCCAAATTTTCACAGCAAACTAATGTTCACCGATAGATTTACACATATGAGCTGTAGAATGAAAATATACTTTGATCCCTAGATTTGAAACACAAGCTATAGTTCAGATGGCTCCCTGAGAGCTCAGAGCGCTGGCCCATTTTGACATTCTGGGAGAAACTCAATTCCAAATTGACCATGTGTGTTCCTGCCTGGTGTTCCACGGAACACTTCCTACATCTGTCACCATCATCTTCACATTTTGTGTAGCTGCCTGTGAAACTATTGATCTCTGCAGCCCCTTGACTTCCAATTTTGATGACAGTCTCTGAAATAGCCCCTTACTTGAATTCAGGCATTAACTTAGAGGACAGGATGCTGTTTTGGTCCATATGAGCACAGACTGCCAGTTGAGGGGAAATTTGAAAACCTGTGTTTTGGCCTGGGAAGAGAGACCTCTGGTCCAAGCTCACTGTTTCCAGAAGGAAAAGGGACTATTTACCTTGGGCATAAAATATTCCAGGTGCAGAAAGGGCAGTTTTTCCCATTCGAGCTGGCACGGCTTTGTTTATCTGGAGAGATTTCGCTCTGTGGCAGCCTGGCAATTTGACTTGAAAATTTTGCTTCTCCATTATCACGCATCTTGTAATGAGAAACTTGCCAGTGACATATGTTTATTAATCTTAGTTAAAAGACACCTGCCTGGATGGTTTATGGCAGGAAAACACTTGCCGTCATCAATCCTTCTCTAATCAGCAAGTTTTCCTTCCCTCCTGGCCCCACACCGGTGTGTGGCCATGGCCAAGAGTTGCCTTTCTTCCATCCTGCGTGGTCCATGCCTTGTACATGAGCGGGATAGAGGGAGATGAAACCCATTGCTTAATCTGCAAGGGAAGCGAGTTGGTGTCTCGCCTGACCTTTAGTTGAAAGGATTCATTTCACATTACTCTTTACCTTGCAGCCTGAAAGTCGTGGTTAATGAGGTGCCCTCTGGGTACCCACCCCCTGCAACAGGCTGTTCTGAGAAGTGCAGCTGCGCACAGCAGGATTCTAATCACCACTTCTCCCTGGATGGTGAGGACTGACAGGGCGGAGGAGTGGGGGCTGATTTTTGATTGGGGAGGTGCTCCGCCTCATTCCAGCATCAGTTATCACTGCTGCCCTGGAACCTCCTGGGTGTTTGTTGCTTGCCACAGAAGCTAAGCTTCCATAAACCAGAACCATGATTCTGGGTGAAATTAGCCAATGTACGAAATTGCTCCATGTGATGGCGAGTAAATATGGTAGCTGGGAGACCGAGGAGAAGCCGCCATCATCTGTGAGATGCAGAAGAGCCCAGACGTTAGCGAAGGGGAGTTGGTGAGTTGTGAGCCCGCCAGCGGTAACATGGTATTTCCCTGAATCCCATTATGTCAACAGGGAATTTACTGGATTTTTACCTCATGCATCCTTCCGGCGTGTGGGCATGAGAATTGCAGTGTGTTTCTTGGTAATTTAAATAGCCGTCATTAGACAATGCACATTTGCTGTCTAATTAAATCTCTCCGACCACAGAATCACAACCCCGCTCCACCATCCGGGTATCTTTACAGTCTGCTCTATACCGTAGAGCAAGCAAAGGCATATAAACCTGCAATCAATTCTCAGAAGGCCAGGGTGCTAGGAATTTATTTCCACTACAGTGCTCTGGGATTTGTATGCTAGTTTTAAGGAATCCCTGGAGAGGGAATAAGGATATTATTATGGTTGTAAGAAATACCTCCCACCTTAAATATTGTTTAAAGGTCATAATGCATTCTATTTTAGGTTTTCATCATCACCCAAATATTTTCTTATTGACTGGATACAATGACATTCTAAGCAAAAGCAGGATTCTTAAGGAGGATTTAGGTATGCCTTTACCTGGCTACTTGTGTTTCTACTGATTTTGCAATTATGACATATTCCACTCAGAAAGACGGCAGGGATTCTTTTTCTGAGGAGACCAGACACTTAAGCATCATTCTTTGTGTGTCAGTTTGCTTGTTTCAATCCCCGATGACAGATTAAACAGTAAAACTTTTGACACTCCCTGCAGTGTGAAAACGTATAGCCCCGAACTTGTAATTTGGTAAATGAGTTATTTTTACTTTATGCAAAATTTTCTGATAAATACTCCATGCAGTTTATAGTTCCAGGAAACGGTAATGAAAGGTTTGATTTGATGCCAGATATTTGCAATCTATAAAATATAGATATATTTTAACAATGAAGGTCTTTCTAACATTTAGATTTTCTGAATACTTATGGTTAAGTTCCCCTCAAAAATGTATTTAAGTTATCTGTACATAACTTCAGTGCTCTGAAAACAAAAATGAATCTTCTATTTGACAAATTACTTTGTCTGCAAAGAAGATATTTGACCAAGTGTGTTTTTTTTCACTTATTTTTGGGGTTATTAAGTGGACAACTATTTTTGGATTCTTGGTGTTGATTTCTGACTGAGAACTTGAAAGGTGAAGAAAGGAAACAGGCTACATTGTGGCAGATTTTGGTCACTGTACCATCCTCTGAAAAAAAATAAACGAGGATGAAGAGTGTCGTTTCAGCCCACAATTCTTGATTTGATGTATAAGGTCATCAGATGAAACATGAAGTAGAGATGGGCTTTCCAGCCAGCTGCGTATCTTGGTTCCAGCTGACTGACAGTACAAAGAAAATGTGTCAGTCATGAATATTAAGTTTCTTTCTGGCATTTTTCTTCCAGATGGAAGCAGCATGCACATTGTAACAATGCTTCTTCCAGTTGATGAATTTTCTTGTTTATATTTTTGGCAAAGCATATTGATTTTCATCTGTGATTTCCACCTTAGTAACCTAGTTTTGAAAAATGTGCAGTTTAGTTTCTTTTAAAATAGCCCACCCTCCAAAAAAAATCTATTTATAGCAAAGTCATCACAGCCCAAGTTCTTCTATTATCTCTCAAATCCTTCACTCTTTTTCATCCTCTTTATTAGCTTTGGAAGTGCATATTATAAAGCTCCATTTTTAACTGACTGATGACATTTCCTGGTCTTGTCATCACAATACTGTAACGATATTAATAATCAATTTTAATATTAAAACCTACTATTTTTAATGTTGTCTTTGTGGCAGGTACTTCAAATATGCTTGATATTCATTATGGTTCTTAAGTCTTCCAGCAGCTCTATAAGTAAAACATTATTTCCATCACATAGTTGAAGAGACTAAAGATGAAAGGAGTTGAGGACAACCTCCAAAGCCATATAACTAACATGTGGCAGAAGCAATACTTGAAGCTGGTCTTTTTGAATCCCAGTCTCATTCTCTTGACTGCTCAGCTATCAGAATTGTATAAAGTTGATGATTCTCTTCTTCATTCATTTGTATCTGCCTTATATTTTTCAAACAAAAAAAATGCAATAAAAATGTAACTATTTTTAAGTTGTTACATTTAAAATATCTAAAAAATTTTTTTAAAGATTATGCTTTTACTCATTCAACTTTCTGACTTTTTTGAAAATTATGTTCAACTTGGCCCCCAGAGAACCCAAAGAGGACCCTATCTAAAGGGAAGGGTTTTATGTTGGGAGACCCGTTTTCATTGAAAAGCTCTTTTCCTAACCCTTATCCCCACAGCAACAAGCATCTAACTGAATTCTCCTCTGCAGTGTCCATCAAATGGCAGGAAACTGGAGATCCTCGAGGCGCTGTTGCTTGTTAAAGATGAGGCATAGTGGTCCGGCCCAGTGGTGCTCACTGTACATGTCCATTTGTGGTCTTTGCTTCCCTGATACATCTGTTGACAGCTTTGAGATGGTGGAAAGGAAAAAGCACCACAAACCCAAATTACCATTATCATGATCCTTGATGTCACCATTAGTATTGATAGAAGATCTGTTTCTAGTCTGTTACCTTTCAGAAGTAACAAGATTCACATATTTTAAGCAGCAGTCACCACTTCTAAATTATCTGGCATTTATTCAGTCTTTAGTTTGTCTAAGTCAATCACTGAAAATGAAATCTTGCCTTTTGATTTGTTGCTGGCCCTTATTTGAATGGGGAAAGGGAAACTTCAGACTTGAACATCTCAAGCCTCATCATATTTTCCTTTTCCACATGACAGCAATAAACAGATCTTGGCAAAACCTCAGATGCAAAAGAAATTTTTTAAATGAAACACACTGTCATTTCTTTTGAATGATATGGCAATAAACCAATAATCCAAAGGATCGCTAAACATCTAGCCTTCTAAAACAGGAGAACGGCTCAGACTCTTGGTGCAAGAAAGCACCATTCAACTTAATGAATTTTCAAAGAGGAACTTTTTAAAGAAAAGTCATATTTGGGGAGTATCAGTGATGATTGATTGAGGAAAGTTTAATATAGTGAAAAGGCATGAGCTTTGGAGATGGAGACAGTTTCAGACACTTTATAAGTATGAGGCCTTGGATATGTTACTTAAATTCACTAAGTTTTGGTCTCCTTAATAATGAGAGAGAAGCATTATTAATAATTGGCAGCTTGCCAAGTTATGATTAGAAATAAGACTGAGGTATATTAGAATCCAAAAAAAAAAAAAAAGCTCTGTCATATATTAGTTGCTTAAGAAACTAGCTATGACCATTTTTGTCTCTCTGTTATTTTCATGGCATTATTGCTTGTCTGTGTATGAGGAGATCTGAGTGGATGACTCTCTTCAGCAGGGGACCATGGAACAGGGAATAATTCAGAATACACTATCTGTTTAACATTGTGCCTATAAAGGTATCTTCTTATGAACCTAAGGACTGAATACAACTTACCAGACATGAAGCTATGCAAATTCATAGGCTGAGGGCATCTGCAACCTCCCACAGCCCTCCTGCTTTAAAAAATCCATTTATGAGTGGGAAAGAGTTGGCCCTTCAAGGAAGGATCGTCTGAGCATGAGATCCAGTTGGCTGAGCCTTTTAATTAGATGCATTGACCCTTTCACTGGATGTCACCCCAGTGCCCAGGTGTGTAGGCACAGGGAGATTCGAAGCTCCACTTTGAATGGGAGTAAAACGCTGCAGGGTAGAACAGACAGCACAGATGTTTACAAAGCCACAGGTCCCAGGTTGCTCTGACACAGGCGCCATCTGATGGCAGCGCTGTCCCAGAAATCTGGGTCCCACTCAGAGATCTGATCTGAGCACCTCTTGGCAGAACTGGCATGCTGCAACCCCCTGGCGTGATCCAGCTGAGATGCGAACAAAGGCCGAGGGAATAAACAATCTGCTTAATTGAGTTTGAGTGATAGAATTGCAACAAGGGGCCAATAAAAGGCACAGTAAGAAGGATGTTTAAAAATTCTAATCAACCTTGGCGAGACAGTGGTGTTGGACCTCTGAAAATAATGACAGGGGATAAAAACTATGAAATCATAGCGTATAAGCTAGAGATCTCAGTATGGTTATAGGAAATAGATAAATTAATTTTTTTTTTAAATTTCTGTTTCTATGACTTCAATTTTTACAATTGCCTTTTAGAGGGATCCTATAGTCAATACGCACTTGGTAAGAAATTACCTGACATATGTGACCTTGAGGAAGTCTCTTAATCTCTCTAAGTCTCATCATTTATTTTCTTAATTTATTTTATTGATGTACAGTTGATTTACAATGTGTTAATCTCTGCTGTACAGAAAAGGGATTCAGTTCTACATATATACACAGTCTCTTACATATTCTTTTCTATTATGGTTTAACATGGAATATTCAGTGTCTTCACTTATAATAAAATGAGGATAGTAATATTCTGTAGAGGTAAGGAGAGATTATACACACATATATCTCTGTCTATCTACACTATGTATTATTATACATATATGTGTCTGTATTATGCATACATATATCTCTATCTATCTATACTGTGTATTCCTACGGCTGCTATAGCAAAACACTACAGACGAGGTGGCTTAAACAGCAGAAATGTATTTTCTCATAGTTATGAAGGCTGGAAGCTCAAGATCAAGGTGTCAGGAGGTTGGTTTCTCCCGCGGCCCTTCCCCTTGGCTTGCAGACGGCCGCCTTCTCAGCGTGTCCTCGTGATTTTTTCTCTGTGTGTGTGCAACCACTGGCATATCTCCGTGTGTCCAAATTTTCTATTCGTCTAAGAACACCAGTCAGATTGGACAGGTTGAATTCGGGCTCACCCTAACAGCCTCATTTTAACTTAATCACCTCTGTAAAAACTTTATGTCCAAATGCAGTCGTCTTCTGAGACACTGGGCAATAGGTTGTTAACAAATGAATTTGAGGGCATATGATTTAGTCCAGAACAATATACAGAGAGAAAGTAGACTTTAGAATTACTTCATCATACTAGGTGCCCAG